CCTCTCCCTCTGTGGTGCCATCGTGATCCGCCGCAATTGAAGGCTGCTCTGGCTGCGCTCCGACTCACATCCCTTAAGACGCTCTCTCGTTTACAGGGAACATGACTAATTTTCTGACAGTTCAAGTATGCAAAGCGCTTGATAATGCCAGATTCCCGCAGGATTGTTTTACAGTTCTCTTCAATTATTGTTTGCGAGCATTTGTATTTGTTTGTCACGTGAAATCCATTAGAAGCACCTGAAAAACTGAAAGCGACTGCATAGATGCATTTTTTCGAAAAGGTTGCATTTTTCGAAGTGAAGCCAATAAAAATGATGAAAAATCAAAGAGGCTGGTGACAAAATGCTATTTTTAGAGGTTTCTTAGTTGCCTGTATCTTAGACAAGCAATATGCCAGCCATTCTCCCTTACTTTGTTTATTATTTGCTATTTTTTGTACTGAATAATCCTGAACAGTTCTTATTCTAGGGTTCAATTTTCGCTATCACAGACGCCACCAATGGCCCCTATTCAACACTCGTTTTCTCCGATTCTGCAGAGCTTTCCCAAAGAGTGAGTATCTCTCTCAGTTTGTTTTCCTCCTTTTTATTTCATTTATAAGGCCACGTAATGAGCAGAATCTGAGTCTCAAGGGGAAGAGGCAATTCTACGGAATTCCAACCATGATGGCGATGTTGCTCTTAATTTCCCTGTAATTATCGGCTCAGCCAGGACAGTGTTTCTTCTCCGATGCGGTCTGGAAATTCTTGGATTGCTCACGCCTAGCGGAATGACCTTCACTTCTGTACAGCATGTATCGCCAAAGTTGTAGATGGGTATGGTCCGTTGAAATGATGCCGTCATTTCTGCTGATGGGATCGGAGTAACGGTCATTAACATGCTATCAGTCGCCGTTGTCTCGGCCTCGAATCGCTGCCGTCAGCATTGACTCTTTCAGTCTCCTTTATTTTTCTCTGAATGTATTTGTCCAGATTACATTCTTTATTTTTACTACACCATTTCTATGGCCACATGTGAGCGTTTTTTATCCCATTAGTTGGTAGATAGTTAATTGAAATTAACATCTTCTCTGGTTATGAAGTGATACCTCTTTCTTCGTGAAACTTCGGCATTTTGTGAAACTTGATGGAACTCTTTTCTTTTCCGGCAACGAGACTGCTATGCTGGGTATTTTGATAATGGGCCAATGTTTCGACAAGGTTGTCGTCGTCTTCAGGGGCTCACATCATAGTCTGTCGGGCCGAAACTGAATGAATAAATGGGAAATCATTTCATGCATTGTTTTGCGCTTTATACTTGTGTCATAAGGGTAGAGCACTGGGATGGGGGAGAAGCCCGTACCAGTAAATCATGACCCCGTTTTCTCCTCCGCTTCCCCCCCCCCTCCCTCCCTCACAACCTATCTTATTGTTAGCAAATTTTGTCATCCAGCGGGGGTGGAACGAAAAGCCACAATCAAAAAATTTTTTGCTAGAACAATCATTACCCCGCTCAGCAATGAGCCCGATAAGACCACATTGGTGGGATTTGCTAAACAATGAAGTACACAGTATGCCATACCTCAATAGGCTACGAATGAATTGATGAAGCTCATGTCCCAGCTTAGTCGCTTATATGAAGCTCTGAGGAAAAAGTTAGTTCTTGAGACT